GGCTGTTGAATCTGAAAACTATGAAAAATAGCTCGGCAACTATCAACTGTAATCTCTTGCGGCCATCTAATTCGAGAAAGAGTATCTGCTTCCACATTTGATTTGCCTGAAACATAAAAAAGTTAAAATTGTAGTTAGACAGCTCTGCCACCCAACGTTGACCTGTGGAATCTAGTTTTGCAGATGTTAGCACATATGTCAATGGGTTGTTATCTGTTCTGACTGTAAAAGAATTTCCATAAAGGTAATCTGAAAATTTTTCTGTGACAGCCCATTTTAAAGCTAGAAATTCTAGTTTATGGATGGAATAATTCTTTTCACTTTGCCGCAAACCTCTACTTGCGTATGCAATTACCCTGTTTTGACCATCCTGATTCTGGTAAAGCACAGCACCCAGACCGACTCTACTGGCATCCACCCGCAATTCAAATGGTTTGGAAAAATCTGCAAATGCTAAAATGGGTGATTTAGTACATGCATCTATTAATTTTTCAAATGCATCCTGATGTTCTGGAAGCCAATTGAAATTCTGTTGAGATTTTCTAGACTTTTTATTCACTTGGTCCTTTGTGAGTTCATGCAATGGGCGAGCTATTTTACTGAAATTTTCAATGAAACGACGGTAATATCCAACAAACCCTATGAAGGAAAGCACATCTTGTACACACTTTGGAACAGGCCAAGACTTCAAAACCTCAATCTTTGCTGGATCAGTTTGTACTTCATCTTTGGAAACAATGTGTCCAAGGTATAGGATTTTCCTCTGAAATAAACGGCATTTATTAGGTTTGAGTTTCAACCCATTATCTTGCAATCTCGTCAGCACATCTCTCAGCTTGGTAACATGTTCCTCATATGTTTTACTGAAAACAATGATATCATCTAAGTAAATTAAGCAATTTACTAGATTTAAATCACCCATGCAACTCTCAAGCAGCCTTTGAAATGTCATAGGTGCATTACAACACCCATACGGCATGCGTACACACTCATAAAATCCTAAAGGACCAACCTTAAATGCTGATTTTGGTATGTCAGGCTCCTCAATCTCTACTTGCCAATATGCAGACTTCAAATCCAACACGCTAAACCACGAAGCACCATGGAGAAGATCTAGTGTTTCGTCAATTCTCAGCAAGGCGTAAGAATCTTTGATTGTTTTAGCATTTAGCTTACGAAGATCAATGCAGAAGCGTAGTGAGCCATCTTTTTTTCTCACTAGAACAACACCAGAGGAATATGGGCTTGAAGAATTTCTTATGACACCAAGATCCAGCATCTGTGTTATGTGATCTCTAACCTCAGCAAACATTGAAGGAGGAATGTGACAATGTTTCGACTGAAATGGGACATCATCTACAAGGTTGATTTTGTGTTAAACCAAAGAACATTTTCCTAAATCAAAATCATGTAGAGAAAACGCCTCTTTGTGCTCAAGTAACAACTTATTCACCCCAGACACATGTTTTTCATCAAGGTTTTCCCTTAAGTTCTCAGTGAACCGGTCAGCAAAGGATATAGAATCAGAAGTATCTCCTTCAATAGCGTTTGATGGAGATTTTGAATCAGGTACTATGGAAGCCTGAGAAAGCTTACAGAGTTTCGATCCACTAGGAATAGTAATGCTAAGGTTGGAAAAATTAGTAATTTCCACTGCAATCTTTTGAGTTGATAAACCAGGTTGCACCACATGCATACTAGGAGAAAGTATCAACCCACCTGGTAGAGCAGATTCTGAAATTTCCTCAGTCATGGCTACTAGACGTTGACATGATACTATTCTCGACAAGCCGTTAATCAATACCTTCTCACCTTTGACCACTACAATTTTCTTGGTAGCACGGACGTCGACCAATGTGTCAGTGGCATTCTGTAAATATCTCTGATTTTTTAGAGTTTTTAGGACCAACTTCAAAGGCATTGGTAATTCGCCATTTTCCTTTCTACTGACACCAACATAAAGAGACAGGATGTTTGTTCCAAGAAGAAGTGGAGTTTTGGCATGGTACTCCGTGTCTGGAACTACACGAAACAAACCATTATGTACAGTAGAGCCATCTAGCTCTGAAAGACTCACTGTGGCTTCCACATAACCAATATATGAAATCAAATTGCCGCATGCTGATTCTAATTTCAAAATGTTATCAAGCGGTTCAATTTTTAAATCAAAGGACTTTGCACAAGACGAAGATACTGTACTCACAACGGATCCAGTATCTAACAAAGCTCTAACTTCCTTTCACTGAAAAACAACTGGTAACTCATTAGAATTACCTATAAGGTCTCTCACTAATAATTTTGGGCATTCTGAAACAGAGCCTGACCGTTGCCCTGCTCGACAGGCCGATTTCCGTTTAAATGATTTTGAAAAGGGCAATTTGACTGTCTATGGCCTTGATTTCCACATTGTCAACAACGTACTTGCTGTGACCTACGAGGTTGGGAAGGATTCTGTCTACTTTGGGAGTTTAATCGACCCTCAATAACACTCATTCTTTCTTTTAAAGAATTCACTGCTTCTAACAATATGTCAATCTTTTCTTGGGGCTCGGAAGAAGATTGTTGTAACTAACATGTGATAGGAACTCTTCCTTTCTCTTCCAACTCAATTGTTCGCGCTTCCACCAAAAGCTCATCAAAAGTAGCTCCGCTGTCATATCTGTGTCTCAACAATTGTCTTACTGAAGAAGAATAAAGACCATTGTAGAATTTTAATCTCAACATAGACTTAGCACCATCTTCAGAAACAGCAGGAGGTTTTTTAAGAGTAAGTTTGGAAACCATATCTTCAAGTCTACATGCCCAAGCTGCTACACTTTCAGTTTTTGTCTGATTAGAAGCATAAAACTGTTGTAATATAATCCCTGAAGATAGAACATCACCATATACATGATCAAATTTGGTCAACATTTGATTTATATCAACTATCTCTCCAAGATTATATAACGTTTCTGCTGCTGGACCTTTCACTGAACGTCTAATGGCATGTAATAATACCGAATCTGAGTACATTTTATCCCTATAAAGAGCTCTTACCTCATAAGACCACTGGCGGTAAGTTGCATCTTTAGAGTCATTCAACCCTAAAAACAAAGGTAACCTAGGGGGGTGGGTATATGATACAAGTTCAGGCACACTTGTTGCACATCCCTCACTCACACCTTCAACGCGAGGACTCTGACTAAATTTGACCCCAGAATTCGGCGTTTGAGGAAGACGCCTCCTTTTTGGTGTTGAAACTTTTGGAGTGGTTTTCTCATGTCTCGTAGAAGTAGAAGTGGAGGTAGGTGTAAGTGCGGACTGAAGAGCTTCCACCACCTGAGACACCTCCTTCAAGGACATGTTCTTAAAACTGGAAATTACGTCAACTACCGATAAATCGCGATTTGTCTCTAATAGCGAAAGTATATCTTTCTCAGCTGTTTTGGAAACTCTTCTTACTTCCATTTTTTCACCCTTTAATTTTCTTCCATTAATAATATCTATTGCTTCCACGGCCGCGTTGGCGGATGCAAAAACTACATAAACGACTCCTTGTATCTCAGGTCGAAGTATTCTTTGTGACACTGACATATCAGAAACCATGTGATCCGACATGAACATTTTTAATTCGTCATCTGTAACACCCTCGGGTACGTTCGATATTGCTACACTCCTAGCGCGAATAATAGATGACGCCATATTGACAGTAAATGTCTAACACAAATAATAAAACATCAAACAACTGTTTGCATCCAACTATTCACTATCACACTCAACTTGACTCTTTCAACAATATGACAATAATAACAATATAAACAACAAACACAGGAAATATTTTATTTATTTACAAAAATGCACAAAGAAATGTCATCGATTTTTCTCACTTTCACACCCACATGTACAAACCACATACGCTTTACAAACAAAAACAAAGACAAATACATATATGTAAGCAGGTGTGCAGTTCCCAGTTTTATATAACAAGACCCCAATACTCCAGGCCCAGTAGGAAACCCAAATTACTTACAGCCCGGGAGCCACCGGTCTGCCGCTAGGTGGCTTTTAACCAAACCGGAAGTTCTAGAATTTGAATTGCGTGCATTTTTTTTAGATTTGTAGGGTGTCAGAAACGGTAGAATATCTCGACTACTAAAAGTATGAGAGTTTTGTTATGTAAACTGTCATCTTTAGAAATAAATTTCAAATGATGTGAGATGTTCCTCGAGTTGATCTAAACCCTACTTTGTGTTCAAAAGTGAATTTGAAATCGAAGTTTTACCAAAGCTGTAACGGGAGTTCAACTTTACCTCTAATGCTTGCATTTTTAGAGAACAGGTTCCAACTTCAAATTATCAGTCAGTTGTGGCAAATTTATTCAGCTTTCTGTCAATGTAAGCATGTAAGGAACTTTACCGTTATCCAGGAATGGCACAAATCAATTCACACCCGTGTATGTAAAAAAATCGTGCTTGCAACAACCGTAAGCCAGCCTCGTTTTGACTTAGTACATTCTTGTTGTAGTCTAACCTCGTTTTGAATTTCCCACCCGCACAATAGTCTATATTGAGAAGAGAAGCTTGCACAGGAAGAATGGAGGAAATGAAAATACAAACATTTCATATTTTTTTTTGTAAATAAACATTTATCTATTACATGAGGCCACCCGCTGCCAGTTTCTTTATATTGAAATAATAATAAAAACAAAACAAACAAGACTTTTTTATCAATTTAATTTGCTTTTTTTTTTGTTACATATGAACCACTATATAACATTTAAAACATAATATCATCAACAAAAATATCAATATTGTGAAAGCCAACAGGGATTAAAGCTGATGCAAATATACATGTATATTTGTGGCAAAAATTATTTTTACTTTAGCAACACATTGATATGGCAATTATTTTACACTTCTTGATCATACACACTACTCCTTTTAAAATCAGGATCAATATCAACAATTAATATAATTTTATTAATTTACCTGGGATCAGAAATATATTTCACTGGTACCAGTTAGTCCTGTACCAGTCTATATTTTCATTTGAATTTGTTTTTGTAAGTGTCATAGTGGTGATTTCACAGCCAAACTTCATTTAAAAACTTTCACATTTAATGATGTTACATGAATCTGTTAATGTATTTTATTCATTAGAAAGAACTGTAACCAAGTTTTAAAAGAATGTTTTCAGTTTTAAAAGGATTAAATAACTTTATTTATGGCTTCATGATAGCTGCTTGAGCTTCTGTCATAATTGCCAAGGAATGGCAAAATGATTAATCCTGGTCCCTTTTATGTTCTTCAAGCCTAGAAAAATATTAGATTAAAACATTAAAAAGAATAAAAAAGTAACATTCAAAAACACTTTTCTAACTGCATATATCTTCACACACACACACACACACACACAACAACACACACTAAAATCAGGATAAATAATAATCCACAATCTTGATAATAGGGAAGCTGGTATCAATCGAATTATCTAAAATAGTACTCTAAAAGTGTATCAATATTGATCAATGAGCTCATCATCAAGAGCTGAGCAGTGGCAAACATGCGAATCTTCAAATCGATTAAATTCCCATTTAAATGAAGCTCTGAAGTCTACAAACTACAGTGTTCACAACTATAATACACTAATTATTGTACTGGTACACAATATTTATAAATTAAAACAAAGGAGGAATTTTGTTAATATAATGTTCTTTTTTTCATGAAACGTTTTTCCCTCACATACTTATAACCCATGTGTTTGTGTGTGGGGGAGATTTTAAACAAAAATAAACTGTTCCTTCTAACAAAAATTTGCCTATGATGGCTATCACAATTTGAAAACATATACACAATGTTATAGCACTTGGCATTTTATGATGCACAGTATGCACATATGTATTGCAAATGGTCAACAAACGGGGGTAAAAAATGTAATAAAACTAATTTTGACTAACAAGTTTTCCCCCATATTGACATCGTACATTAATTGTACCCTGCCAAAGGGGCAAAGATGTTAAAAGTCAAAATTTGTTATTCATATTTTTAAAAAGATGCTTGTGGTTGGTTTTCAATTTTGTATCTTTCACAATTAACTATAATTTACAATTAAGCATGTGTGGCCCCACACTCATACCATGCACACACATGCAGGGCAGATAACACTGCTTTTCACTGACATCAACATCCAACAACTATAAATCGACTTTCCCACACCTTGGACAGGGACCACAAGGAAAACACATGGGTAAATGTCCTAGCTAAGCTTTCTCTTGTGCATGATATATTATTCAATTTATGATTAAAATAAAAAATATGTCCAAGTGATATATACCAACAAATTGATATGAAAAGATACTCACTACTTGGCAATGTATACATGTATATTCAGCTGTGTAACACTGACATCCTAATTGTTATAACACAAGCCTTTGAACTGTCAACACTTTAGGTCACTGAAAGTATAAAAAGGTAGATAAAATATTAAACCTATTATCTTTTGGGCATTCTTGTACATGATAATAATAAATAACTGATAAATATTTATATCAGTTTATACAAGTTTCACTCCTTTTTCATGGAAATTTCAAAATATTACATTTTTTTCATCTTACTCAAATCAAAATGCAAAGAAATAGCATGAAAAGGAATATGCAGAATATCTAAAAAATGGCTTTCATATCCTCAAAAGTGACCTATCCCCCTCTCATAATATATCTATCTATGCAGAATCAAGTATACTACATGTCATTTTGCGAGCCATTTCTATTAATAAACATCAAAGCACAAAAAAAAAGCATAACAAGGCAAATTCTCAATATTTTATTGTGACATTCATACAAGACATGAGGCAAGACTGCCCCCATATTCACTCTACTGTGATCGCCCCAACCACACACACTGTCATTTCATGAAGTATTTAATCTAGTTAACTTCAAAACACAAAAAAATTGCATGAAAATGCAAAAATTCAATATTAAACATCGACATTCATTCAAGATGTAACACAAGACTGCCCATGTAGTTACTCGGAACATTTCAAAATATACTACCTGTCGGAAATGTAGAAAATCGATAAGTTACAGGTTAGGTTCCTATCTAATTTTTTTACCTGTTCAAAATCAAATGTCAAACTATTAAAAAAACTGAACAGATAAAGAAAAATCATTGTAATCTGCATTTGGCACAATTCAAAAGAACGTGTTTACATTTGGGTTCTGTGTGCCGCCATTTTGGAACACGTCAGTAACTTGATAGAAGATTCAGTGAAACCGATACTTAAACGCTACTATGGTATATAAAATATAGCTTGAGAATATACTTTATCGTTCTGTCAAGTGCATTAGTAAAATTATCAACATATCAGCGTATAAACGTCTGTTCATCTTACCTGTCTCTATGCCTGCTCCTCCCGCCAAATTGGCTAAGGCCGCCGCTTCAAGTTTTGAAAACGAGGCCAAATCTAATGTTCTCCAAAATAACCGTCATATGAGCCGGTGGCTACCGGGCTGTTACGCACCTACCTCTTGTTAAGGATATGGAGTAGGATTTAACTGTAATAACTGTACTTAATTATATTGGCTTGATTGCTTTAAAAATCGAATTGCAGAAATCAATGGTTTCTTGTTGTCTCTATCTCTGAAAATATAAACAACAACTATTAAAATAAAGTACACAAATATATAAAGGAAGCACACACAATTGGAATAATGCTAATTAATAACTGTGCTTCTTAAACAGTGTGATTAATATTTGATTAAAAGTTTATAGTTACTCTATCCTTTTTAAATTGTGACAACCAATAATTGATATTAATAAGATGAAAAAATACTTTCAATAAGTCAATTAATCGGTGACGACAACCACAAAATGTCACTGAATTAAAAGTACTAAATGAAAGCAACAAGGAAAATATCAGTAAGTTATTTCTGCAGCATTATAAATGGAATACAAACAAATGTCACTATAATGCACAGTAATGTCACTTCAATATACAATTCTGTCAGCACTTTGTTGCGACAAATTAACACACGAAATTTACAGTCATTGAATCGTTTATCTATTTACAAGTTTATACAGATTGTCATTGCAAGAGTGTTTTTATGAACTAGCCATCATCGTGTACGGGGAAAATCTGGAAAAAATGTCAAAGTTATTTTGACACAGCATTCCAACAGAACCACACACGTAGAGCTGCTACAAGCCAAGTGTCCGTAACACCCGAATTATGGCCACGCCCACAACGTACCAGTTGTATTACTGATGCGTAAAAGTAATCAGCTCCAATTAAATACAAGTGTTCGGCGCACAAGTATGATGCCAACGCCCACATCTACCTGCATTTGCCGACTCTCTTCATACGATGGCGGAACTTTGCAACGATATTGTAACGGATTTTATGTTGGTACTTTAGTCCGTACAGTATTAAAAGGGATTCGTCATTGTTTTAAAGGTTCAAATCCAAGAAACAAACTGCTGATGTAAAAAGGTTCAAAATGTTTATCAAAATCCAACAAAATGCAATGTGGTAATAATGCCCACTCTGATATTCAGTTATTGTCTTTAAGTCCACGTTAAATATGTGTCCTTTGGATAAATTCAGTTAATGTCCAGTTTTAGTTCTGCATAAATTTCCAATCGGTGGGAGACTGTGACAGCAGTGGCTCCTCTTCTACCGGCCCACAGCTACAAGTGCCAACACGGTGCGCACCTTTGGGAGAGTCTAAGCGGTAGACTTCCCTCCTTCAATCAACGACTTAGGGTGCTGGCACGGCGCACACCCTCGGGACAGCTTGCTTCCCGTTTTCCAACCAACCACTTGCCTAGAGATTCGACACGGCCCGGACTCTCCGACCAATCACCTACTTAGCGTTCTGTCACGGCAGAAACCCACGAGAGAGCCCAACTTCCCGTTCTCCGTCCAGCCACCTGCTAGGGGTCTCGACACGGCGTAAACCCTGCGACAAACCACCTGCCTTGGGTTCCGTCACGGTACGAACCCACGGGAGAGCCCAACTTCCCGTTCTCCGTCCAGCCACCTGCTAAGGGTCCCGACACAGCGTAAACCCTGCGACACCAACCAACAGCTAAGGGTCCCGACTCGGCGTGAACCCTGCGACACCAACCAACTGCTTTTACTACCGCCCCAGTGAACCTGCCAGAGAGAACAAGTCCTCTCAATCGGAACCTCGAGTGTAGCTCTACTGCGTCTGGGAATCTTCACCCAACGAGTGCTTGACAGCTGAAAATGGGGTGGATGGTGGCTCTTACCCAGGGG